GAGAAGTCTGGTGGGCTACTATCCATGGGGTCACAAAGAGTCGGACATAACTGAGCAACTGAGCACACACGCACACACATATATTAGGTAATGTCACTTCAGTTATCCCATCTAATCCTTACAACAAAAATTTAAAGTAGGTTTTACTCTCCCCACTTGTCAGGAAGCAAATTGAGGTTAGGAGTCATGTGACAAGGTATTCAGCATCCTGCAGCTGGAAGTAGAAGAGCCTATCTTCAAGCACAACAGTGTCTGCTCAGAGACCATACTCCTTCTACTCACCACTCACTAGGTTGTGGGGACCCAGCTCTAGGCCCCTCTCCTCTCCAGGGTGGCTGTGGCACATCAGTGAAGAGGAAGACCTGTGCAGGACTCACCGCAGGACTTACTAGGAGCTGACTGTTCATTGTTAGGTACCCAGCAGTGCAACAGGTCTGTGGCTTCCAAGGGAAGCCCTGAGCTGAGTCATGGGTTTGTTTTCTTGCCTTGTTACAGGTCTGGTTGTGTTACAGCAGTTGCAGCTTGCTAAGTATCATGAGGAATCCTTTGAAAACCTAAGAGAGCCAGAGTCTCCACCTCCTATAGCACAGTCAAAATTGTTACAAAAAAGAGGGAAAGAGAGAAAGAAAGGTATGAGGAAGGAAGGCAGAAAGGAGAAAAGAAAGGAAATGTGAAAGAGAGCTTCTTTAACCTCACCTCCCACACCACTGTATCCACATTCCTTTGAAGTAGAAATGAGAATGAGTTTGCTAAGGATAATGATGACCCTTATCAGAGTAAAGAAAACAGCACTTGAATGTATTAGTTTAGAGAGGATCAGTCATTAACTCCATAGAAATTAGAAATCTTCAGTGGGAAATGGTCCACTTTTATCCTATACCTGCTCTGACTCCACTCCCAGATCGCTGAGAGGGGAGTTTAGCATTTAGCCTTACCTGAGCAATCTAAGCCTTTCTGATGCCCTCCTCACATCTCTAGTGTACACAACTCATCTATGTCTTCACCACTATGGTGTTTGGATCCAGGGCAGGCCACACTGAAATATACCTCCAAGGGATAATGGACTATTTTTAAATAAAATGACTTAAGAAATGGCTCATGCGAGAATAACACTTGGATTCTCCTTCCTGTCTCCCAGGAGGCAGGAAATAAATCTTACAGGTAAAAGATGTGCCCCCCCCCCAACCCCCAGTATCTGGAGGTAGAAGGTCACCCTTGTCCCCAGAGACAGGGAACTCAGGGCCAAGAAGTTTGTAGAAATAAACCATGTTACCTCTTCATTACTCTGCTACTCCAAGTGCCAGCCCCTTTGTTCCGTTAAATCTTCACAAATAATTGTTTCTTTATCTAAAAATGATATATAAATTTTCTGCTATGCTCACTTCTGAGGTCCAATCTTTATGAAACTTTCATGTTTATGAATTAATTTTTTTTCCTTCTGTTAATCTGCATTGTGTCAATTTAATTCTTAGGCTAGCCAAAAGAGTTCATGAGAAATGCTGGACTAGAGGAAGCACAAGCTGGAATCAAGACTGCTGGGAGAAATATCAATAACCTCAGATGTGCAGATGACACCACACTTATGGCAGNGGAGGAGAAGGGGATGACAGAGGATGAGATGGTTGGATGACATCCCTGACTCAGTGGACGTGAGTTTGAGTAAGTTCCAGGAGTTAGTGATGGACAGGGAAGCCTGGTGTGCTGCAGTCCATGGGGTTGCAAAGAGTCGGACACGACTGAGTGACTAAACTGAACTGAACTGAAGAGGGAAAATCCCCCCTCACCAAGAATAGTCAAGATCAAGATGATGCCCTACAAGCACCTACTCTGGGTTTCAGGCCTCCAAGCAGCAGTCAGTACGTTGTCCTGGTATATCTGAGGGAGTCATGGACAGATGCTCTGGATGGACTTGAAGCTCAAAGCTAGTTTGGGGGGGCCATCTCCCCACTCAGGGTTAAAGTACACGGTATAGACTGCGTGACTCTGGAGGAGAGAGGAATGAAAGTGAAAAGCCACCCTGACACAAATCAAAATGACTTCCCTTTCCTCAGCAGTGATTTTACTTGTCACAGTGAATATCTTCACTGCTCTAATCTTTTCTTTCCCTTTCCTTACCCTTATTTCTGTGAAAATTAATACAGGGAAGTCTCATTTAAAATGGAATTGAGATGTTAGAAGGGGAAGGTCTCATATAGCATCGTCAAGGTCAGTAACAGGAAGGACAGTCCATTACAGATCCCATCAGGAAGGACCATCATCAGGAAACAATCATCAATTGCAGGGTTCAACATGAAAGATATACTTGCATCTCCTACAGGAAACCAACTCCCTCAGCTACTAGGCCTATGACAAACCATCATCACCCCAAATTCTCGCTTTCCTCCTTTCATTCAAAAACAACCCCTCCCAACTTCCTCCTTCCCACTCTATAAAACAATGTTCCTCTCCTTTGTTTGCTGGATTTTCTTTGGCTTTTGCTATGGCCGGTTATGATAAAGAATCTGCCTACCAATGCAGGAGGCCCAGGTTTGATCCCTGGGTCAGGAAGTTCCCCTGGAGAAGGGAATGGCAACCCACTCTGGTCATATGCAGCATATGACCTACATATACTATATGCTAAAGTTTATTCGTTATGCTTCCGTTTATTTCCTTGATTTCCCTGGTGGCTCAGATGGTAAAAAAATCTGCCTGCAATGCAGGAGACCTGGTTTCAATCCCTGGGTCAGGAAGATCCTCTGGAGAAGGGAATGGCAACTCACTCCAGTATTCTTAACTGGAGAATTTCATGGACAGAGAAGCCTGGTGGGCTACAGTCCATGGGTCGCAAAGAGTCAGACACAACTGAGTGACTAACACTTTCTTTCACTTTCTGTTTATTTCAAGAAGTATTTACTGAGTCTGTGTTATGTGCTAAATATCATGGTAGGTACTAAGGATAAGATACCAGATAGTCAAGGAAGAAGGAACTCTTGTTAAAACAAGTTTGTGTGCCTCATGCACAGTGAGGCCAAACAAACTGAAACTTCAGAGTTTGGAGAGAGAAACATTTATTGCAGGAGACATGCAATAAACATGCAAGAAGAGGGTGGCTTAAACCCAAAAAAAGCCCCTAACTCCCTGAGGGTTTAGGCAAAACCAGGTGAGGGAGGTGGGGTCCCAGTGTTTGTGATCAGCTTGTGCACAATTCTCTGATTGGCTGACGGTGAAGTAGCAGGGTGGAGTCACAAAGGTTAACATCATCTGTCCTTAGGCTCCAGGGGGCCTGGGGCTACAGGCTTATGGTCATCAAGTAGTTAACATCTTCCTTTTGTTGGAGAGTTGTTGTTTTTTTAACAGGCTTCCCCTGTGGCTCAGCTGGTAAAGAATCCCCTGCAGTGCAGGACACCTGGGTTTGACCCCTGGGTTGGGAATATCCCCTGGAGAAGGGAAAGGCTACCCACTCCAGTATTCTGGCCTGGAGAATTCCATGGACTATATGGTCCGTGCAGTCGCAAAGAGTTGGACACAGCTGAGTGACTTTCACTTTCTCTTTCACTGGGGGTTTTTACATCTGCAAAACAACTCAGGAAATGTGCATCAGATACTGTTATCTAGGTACAGAGAGGAGCTAAAGCAGAGGATAGGGAGGAAGGCCTGTCCCAGGGAGGCCCCACAGGGTTCTGATCAGTTCCAATCCCCCGTTTTCTTTGATAATCCTCAATCTTGAGGAGACCAAGTTTTGAGCAAGAAAAGGAATAAAGGTTCAGATGAGGTTAGTCATAAACTTAACAGGAGAACCCACAGAGTCCTGATTGGTTACATGGTAAGATAAGAGATTTTTTTTTCCATTTATTTTTATTAGTTAGAGGCTAATTACTTTACAATATTGTACTGGGTTTTGTCATACATTGACATGAATCAGCCATGGAATTCCATGTATTCCCCATCCCGATCCCCCCTCCCACCTCCCTCTCCACCCNGCCGCGACCCTCCCGGTGGATGTCGACCACCCAGAATCTCAGGAAGTCTTTGGTTAGAAACTGGAGGCCTGTTTGCAATGTGGTAGGGGATGCCGTCTTTGGGGCCGAGTTTGCTCCTTTACCCTCCCCCCTGCCTCCTGCCTCCAGTGGGGCTGGGCTGGTCAGCAGCCGGCTAGCTCTTCTCTGGACTTGCTCAGACCCTTTGTTCTGTGAACAGCCAGCAGTGTGTTCTGGCCGGTTAACTTTCTCTCTCTCCTTTGCTATCCCACAGTTTAAGCTGGAATCTCACAAAAGCTCCCTCCGATTGCTCTCAGGGCACTCAGACCCGGTCCTTACCCTAAGCAATGCCGCCTGCTCCTCTCCGTTCCGCCTCCACTTGCAGGTGGTGGATGCGGGCATCTGGGGTACTTTTCTGCTGGGAGTTGCTTTTAGGCCTGTAATCTGTGGGTTTTATTTTTCCTCCCAGTTAAGGTGCCCTCCGAGATTCAAAAACTTCCCCCAGATCCGCCAGTGCGAGGGTTTCCTGGTGTTTGGAAACTTCCTCTATTAAGACTCCCTTCCCGGGATGGGTCTCCATCCCTAGCTCTTTTGTCTCTCTTTTTATCTTTTATATTTTGTCCTACGTCCTCCCGAAGACAATGGGCTGCTTTTCTGGGCTCCTGATGTCCTCAGCTAGCGATCAGAAGCTGTTTTGTGAAGTTTGCTCTGTGTTCAATTGTTCTTTCAATGAATTTGTAGGGGAGAAAGTGGTCTCCCCGTCCTATTCCTCCGCCATCTTGGCTCCTCCCCCCAAGACAAGAGATCTTAATGTCTCCTACCATCTCAACTAGAGCAAAGAAAATAAATATTGCCAGTTTGGGGAATTCATGAAGGATATTTGACATTGTTGGGATACCCCAGACAGACAGAGATTTGCTCTGTTGTCCAACTCTTTGAGACCCCACAGACTGTAGCCCACCAGCCTCCTCTGTCCATGGAATTCCCCAGGCAAGAATACTGGAGTGGGTTGCTATTCCCTTCTCCAGGGGATCTTCCCCGACCCAGGGGTTGAACCTGGGTTGCAGGCAGATTCTTTATCATCTGAGCCACCAGGGAAGCCCCAAGGATATTAGATATTTGTTAATTAGCATAGAGCTGGAGCCTTTCAAGGCACTGTAGGAGAGAAAAGATGAATGAAAGAGTCCTAAGAAGCTTTTTGTCTAATGGAGAAACAAACCATACCCATTCACCTGAAAACTGCAATGATGAAATATGAAAACTGCACCATGATGGAATATGCACAATATCATCAAAAAATGATGATAAAGCAATGGTAAAGTTTGCTTGGGTGAAGGACTTAAAGGTAGGTAACATTTGAAAAGGGTAGTGAATGATAAGTAGAAGTTTGTCAGAGGAGAATGGGAAGGGCCCTGTATTATAAGAGAAGGAAACTCCATGAGCAAAGGCATGGAAGTGTGAGAGTATAAAGAGTGTTTGAGTGAACTCTGAGTAGTCAAGTAGCTGTAAAACCACACCCTAAGAGAGGAAAAGAGGAAGAGGGGGGTGTTGGTGAGTGAAGATAAATGTTTGTGAAGACTTATGTCATTTTCTTTCCCTGTTTCTGTATTATGATGCCCTTCCTGAAGGGATCTGGGAGTTAATGAGAGGACATGGAGTGTGACTGGTAAGTGGCTTCAAGAATACCCTGAAATAACTAAGGGCTTGTTCATCTGCCAACACCAAAAGACTGGTCTAGCTATATTGACTGCATTAAAGTCTCTATGGGAGGATTTTTATGATATCAGACCACCAGGAGCCAATGCTGGAGATGGAGGTGGATTGGTAATGACAGCATTTCATGGGCTGGTGTTGCTTCCTCTGATATTTCTTGGAGCTTGGGCCAGACCAAGTCCATGTGAGAGAAAGAAGAAAGGGAAGCATGTGATGGCATCTGATCAGGATCATGCCTTCTCCAAGCTTACCTCCATGGTAACCAAGGCTGGCAATTATATGGTATTCATTGACCCACTGGTCACATATGTCTGGCTGTGAGTTTGATGGCATTGACCTTGACTTTGAGTACCTGGGGCCCTAGGGCAGGGGAAAATATTCCAGACACTTTGGTGTCAAGCCTTAGCTCACTTAACATCCACACATACATATACACACATACACACCTGGTAAACACATACATCGCAGTCTACAGAGGATATTTTCTTCCCACAAAATATTGCTACATTTTTATATAAACATAACTTTATTTTACATACATTTTTATATATTTACATTTTATGTTTACTTATTTTTATTTATATAAATGTATATATAATTAAATATAAATTTTCATATACTTAAATTAAAATCTGGATTACATATGAGTCATGTATTTTCCCTAAAATTATCACTACCATAATCACCAATACTATCCTATATTTTCCAACAAGAAATATTAGCAGCCTTTGAAGTTGAGGCCCAAGCCACAGGCCATCCCTGCCTACTGATCTTGGGAGCCATGTCTGCAGGCAAAGGAACTGTTGTTTTGGGTTATGAAATGGCCAGAACTGGAGAGTGAGTCAGGCAGCAGTATCCAAAGGCCTGAACAGCACGTCTCATTCCAAGGTGAAACTTAAACCTGAGAGACTCAGGGAATTGCAGTCAAACTAATTAACAAAGTCTTAACATAAACTCAACAAAGTACATCTTCATGGTGTTTTTGGAGTTTTCCTCCACTTTCTCTTCCTCAAGGCTCTTGCCTGGAAGCTACTACTGTATGCTAAACACTCTTGCTTCCTGCTTAGGACCTAGAGAGAGTTCCACATATTCTAAGTGACTTGAGGTTCTTTAGTGGGCTTGCATAAATGCACTTGACCCACCTACTATACCAATCCAGGGAGAGGAAGGCTTATCACCCCCACTGAAGGCATGCCATTAGTGAGCAGAAAAGGAAAGTTAGAGAAAGTTCTGTCATGTATCTGTATCCAGATTTCTAGGATTTGGTGGATTATCACTGAAAAACAGAAGAAAAACTCACAGTGCCAGATAATTCCTTGGGTCCCTGAGAAATGTCTAAGTTGCAGCATAGCCATGGCCATAGCCTCAGTCTCCCCATCATGGCAATGCTAGCTTCAGCTGCTGTTTGCCCCTCCTGTGCCACTTCCCTCCTCGGCTCCTAGGCTTCATCATGTGCTGACCCACAATATGCATGGAGGTTGGCACACCAGTGAAGGACATGACAGCCACCTGCACCAGGGTCCCACTGATCATGGAGAGTTTGTCTACTTCAACACTGTGAGGTAGGAACCATTGGTTAGGACTGGGAGGCAGAAATGGGGAGGAAGGTGGAGAGGAGCTGGCTTTGAGCCTTAAGTTGAATATTTCCCTGGGAACCTGCCATAAGAATATCAGTGAGATGATGGGGTTCCTGATGAGAAGCTCATCATGGGGTTCCCCACATATGGACAGACCAAGCACCTCACTTCTTCAGATGTGTCTGTGGCAGCACCTGCCTTAGAACAGAGTATATTTGGACCCACAACCAGGAGACTCACTTCAGATCTACCATGAGGTAGTGCCCTTCAGGAGAGGCTGCAGTGGAAATTCTGGCCAATTGGGGAGTGGGGTTAGATAATCTTCGGGTTCCTTTCAGTTATAAGATAACTCTTGTGTCATTGCCCATGTATCCATCTATCTCACCAAGTGGAGATAGAAACATTCCCCAGGAAGAGATAAATCATCTTGGGAATTGAAGAAGTCTAGCTCTAACATGTATAACATGACCTTAGTTTGACTTATATGAGAGGTGAAGTGAAGTGAAGTGAAGTCTGTCAGTCATGTCTGACTCTTTGTGACCCCATGGACTGTAGACTACCAGGCTCCTTTGTCCATGGGATTTTCCAGGCAAGAGTACTGGAGTGGGCTGCCATTTCCTTCTCCAGGGGATCTTCCCAACCCAGGGATCAAACCAGGGTCTCCTGCACTGCAAACAGACACTTTATCGTCTGAGCCACCAGGGAAGCCCTTTTAATAGTAAGAGTTTAAATCCAAGTAAAACTGCAAAGTTTTTAAATCACTGCTTTTTTATTTTTAGAATAAAACAGCTTTCAGGGAAATAGCAGCTCTTTTGTAAGCTCAATGTAATACTCAAGCTACTTCTGTTTAATAACTATGTCTAAGATAACTTACAGGGCACTGTATATGTCAGGCAGTGTGCTGGACACTAGCAATATAATTAAGTAAGACACAGTTTCTGCTCTCAAGGAGCTCAGAGCCCAAGTGTAGGAAGAAAACTCCTTGATGGCTCAGTGGTAAAGAGTTCACCTGCCAAAGCAGGAGACTTGGGTTTGATCCCTGGGTTGAGAAGATCCCTTGCAGAAGGAAATGGCAACCTACTCTAGTATTCTTGCCTGGGAAAGAAATCCTGTGGACAGAGGGTCCTGGTGGACTACAGTCCATGGAGTCACAAAAGAGTTGAACATGATTTAGTGGCTAAACAACAACAGGAAGCAAAAACACACAGAACATGGATCACATGCCTTCATAGATCACAGCCTTGTCATGGCAAAGGGGCTTGCATAACTCAATGAAGTTATGAGCCGTGCTGTGCAGGGCCACCCACAATGGATGGGTCATTGTGGAGAGTTCTGAGAAAATGCAGTTCACTGGAGGAGGGAATGGGAAACCACTTGAGTCAGGAGAACAGCAGACACAGTATGAAAAGTCAAAAAGATATGACACCAGAAGATGAGGCCTCCAGGTTGGAAGGTGTCCAATATACTACCAGGGAAGAGTGGGGGCAATTACTAACAGCTTCAGAAAGAATGAAGCAGCTGGGCCAAAGCAGAAATGAAGCTCAGTTGTGAATGCATCTGGTGGTGAAAGTAAAGCTCGATGCTATAAAGAACAATATTGCATAGGAACCTGGAATGTTACATCCATGAATCAAGGTAAATTAGACATGGTCAAACAGGAGATGGCAAGAGTGAACATCAACATTTTAGGAACCAGTGGATTAAAATGAACAGGAATGGGCAAATTTAATTCAGTTGAATTATATCTGAATTATATGTACTACTGAGGGCAGGAATCACTTAGAAGAAATGAAGCCCTTATAGTCAACAGAAGAATTTGAAAGGTGGTACTTGGGTGCAGTCTCAAAAATGACATGATGGTCTCAGTCCATTTCCAAGATAAACCATTCAACATCACAGTAACCCAACTCTATGCCCCAACCACTGATGCCAAAGAAGCTGAAGTTGAATGGTTTTATGAAGATGAAGACCTACAAGACCTTCTAGAACTAATACCAAAAAAAGATGTCCTTTTCATCACAGGGGACTGGAATGCAAAAGTAGAAAGTCAAGAGATACCTGCAGTAATAGGCAAATTTGGCCTTGGAGTACAAAATGAAGGAGGGCAAAGGCTAAAAAAGTTTTGCCAAGAGAACACATTGGTTATAGCAAACACATACTTCCAAGAATACAAGAAACAATTCCACACATGGATGTCACTAGATAATCAATACCAGAATCAGATTGATTATATTCTTTGCAGTCAAAGATGGAGAAGCTCTATACAGTGGGCCAAAACAAGACCTGGAGCTGACTGTGGCTCATATCATCAGCTCCTTATTGCAAAATTCAGGCTTAAATTGAAGAAAGTAGAGAAAACCATGAGATCATTCACATATGACCTAAAGCAAACGCCTTATTATTATACAGTGGAGGTAACAAATAGATTCAAGGGATTAGACCTTGTAGACAGAGTGTCTGAAGAACTATGGACAGAGGGTGGTGACATTGTACAGGGGTCAACGACCAAAATCATCCCAAAGAAAAAGATATCTAAGAAAGCAAAGTGGTTGTCTGAGAAGACTTAACATAGCTGAGGAAAGAAGAAAAACAAAAAGCAAGGGCAAAAGGGAAAGATATACCCAACTGATTGCAGAGTTCCAGAGAAGGGCCAGGAGAGATAAGAAGGCCTTCTTAAATGAACAATGCAAAGAAATAGAACAAAGCAATAGAATGGGGAAGACTAGAGATCTCTTCAAGAAAACTGGAGACACCAAGGGAACATTTCATGCAAGGATGGGCAAAGTAAGGGACAGAAATGGTATGGACCTAACAGAAGCAGAAGAGATTAAGAAGAGGTGGAAAGAATACACAGAAGAACTGTACCAAAAAAGTCTTTAATGACCAGATAACCCAATGGTGTGGTCACTCACCTACAGCCAGA